TTTGCATTATTGTATTGTGTATGCATATATATAGTATATATGCCAACTGTAATACTTAACCTCACTGATCAGCATTTTAAAATTTTTTTTCCCACCCTTATCCACAGAGGATATGTTCTAAGATCTCCAGTGGATACCTGAAACCATGGATAGTAATGAACTATATATGCTGTGTTTTTTTCCTACACATACATACATTTTCACTTAAAGGAAGCATTTTGTGGCTTCTCTTTGGCATATCAGAATTGCCAGCATGACTACTCTTACACTTTGGGGCCATTATTAAGTAAAATAAGGGTTACTTGAACACAAGCACTGCAATACTGCGACAGTCAATCTGAAAACTTAGGCTACTAAGTAACTGATAGGCAAGTAGCGTGGACAGTATGGAGACACTGGACAAAGGGATGAATCATATCCTGGACAGGATGGCTTGAGATTTCATCACGCTACTTAGAACTGTGCAATTTAAAACTTATGAATTGTTTATATCTGGGATTTTACATTTAATTTATTTGGACTGCTGCTGACCACAGGTAACTGAAACCATGGAAAGCAAAACCTTGGATAAGGTTGGACTACTGTACAGAGGTTGTCATAGTGAAAATAAGTCTGGTCGATTCAGATGATACATGAATCTGAAAATGTTCTATTAGATATTATATTTTGTCCTCTATGCTTGTTTTATATTACAGTGCATGCCATTAGCTAAATTGTGCAAAATAATAATAGTAAATTATACCAATTTTAAGGTTAGAATTAAAATTTTACATATATGCTGCTTGATACTCCGTAATGTATTTTGTGGCATAATTATCTTATTCATACACATTTCACATGCCTTTTCTCCCCTAGGAAATAATTGTTCAAATATCTCCCTCTCCTGTCTTGTAACCTGGATTATACTGCTTAATTCAAACTAAAACATTGTAAAGCCAGATTACCTCATTTTAACTGTGAAAAAGTTCAATCGATATGCTGATATGATGTCTTTTCTTTGTATTTGACTTGAACTACCTAAATAAGCTTAAACCTAATAATAAATCTAAAACTGGAGCAGGCACTTCTCCTTTGTTTGTATGCACATTGTATTATTGGCCATATAAATACTCAAGAGTAACTACTAGTCTTAGTAGTAGGGGTGGGGGCTTTACACCCACCCCCACCAAATATCACCCAACACAATCCCTTCGACATGGTTGATTGTGTTTAACTGGTGAATGATTTAGCAAAAATTAAGTACAGTCATGTGAAACAAAGCAGATAAATTCAGATGGCGAAAGAGAAACTTGCACAATCACTGTATGCACTGCTCAGAGAGTGGGATCCATGCCACTGGTGGTCGGCAAGATAAGGTGGGATGGAAGATGGCCATGTCCTTGCATAGCACTAATATCATTAGTCACTTACTCATTCTGGTTATCTAACAGGCATGCCTTAGCTTAGTGGTGAAACCCTTCTAGCCCTTGTTTATCTAGCAAATACAAAAAAAGACAATAGTATCCAACTACGTTTATTATCATGTTGTTTGTATTGTGTTTATTTTGTGGTTACCGTCTCTTTGTAGAAGTGATCCTGGGTTTGTCAATAGTGATATAAAATTTCCTTTCAAAGTAAACTTGAGTTTTTAAAGAGTCTATTCTATAGAAGCTATGGAAGTGACCTAAGTGTAGGATCCTTTCCAAGCTGGGAAAAAAAATGTAGTTGATTCTACTGCACACTTTTGCCAAGAATTGGGTTTGGCTGTGCTCTTTAAATACATGAACTGCTATTCAGGATAGAAAGTCACCTAGTTTTTCATAAGGGAACTTTCTTCATGTTTCCTGTAGAAGTCCACACTCAGATCATCCTCTCTCCATATCTTCCTGTGCTGCAGTTTCAACAGGGGAGGGGGGAAAAGTTGTGGAGTCGCTCAGTCTCATAGACTGTTTTTGAGGTTCCGATGGAATACAGAGAGCAAACCCTGTTTTTTCCACTTGGAAAGTGATTCCTTTTGTGTGAATCCCTGAGGTGAAGATGCCTGAGTATTCTGGATTTTTGTTGTTGCTTTTTTCCCCCAAAGGAATTCTTCTTACTCAGCGGTATGTCTCTTTGTTTACACCTCTGCATATCTGCTCACTGTGACCAGAGGAGTGATATTATTGTAAGACATGAAACCTTTCCTTCTCAGAGAGGGACAGTGACCAAAGTCCATGTGCCTCAGCCTCACCCAGGATGGCCTGGATGAGTGCCAGTAAAACAGACATGCTAGTCAGACCAGCGTGTTTGCACAGCTGGGTAGTGTTTGGGGATAGC